CTTGTAGGGTTGTGCATATATAATTTAAATTTTTTTCATTAGTCCATGCACCTTTTTTTTATAGTATAATTACAGACATGGATTGAGCCCAATCAGCGATTGCTTGCTCATATGGGATATTTGTCAGATCTAGATAAGTACCCCAACACCCAACTAAAGTTTTATTCAGATTTTTTGTTAAAATTTATTGTTTTATAGGATCTGTTGAAGATAAATCGCCAAATGTTGCGAATTGATCTTCATCTAATTTTCTTAAAAATTCATGGCTGGTATATATTTTTGTTTCAGGGTCTAGTTCCAATGGATCTGGATCTTCGACCTTCCTTTTTCCTTTTGAATCGATATTTTCAATATCAGATTCACTATTTGAATGAGAAGTTGTTTCTTCTGGATCAACAGTTTCTGTGAAGCTGCCTGAAGCAATTTCAACAGTATCATTATCACTTTCTTCTAAGGAAATGATAAGTTTATAATTAAAATTTGTCAAGAGTTTTTCTTTGCTTGAAAAGAGCTCATGCATCATTTTTTGTAATTTTTCTCTTTCTAAATATCTGGTTCTTTTATATACCTGGTTTTCCAGTATTCCAGAATTTCTTTGATAGAGTTATATTTTTCAAAATCTTTTTCTGTCCTATTTTCCGAAGTTAGCATTTTTGTGCCATAATGGAGTTTTGGAAAAAAAATGGGTTCAGGTACTATTTGTTTTTTATTCAGGTTTTTCACTTTGATCAATAGTTCCTTTGTTTTAGGATCTAGATCTATCTCCGTAATTTTTTCTAATTCTTAGATTTTTCTATCTTTTTTTTCTAATTTTTGTAAGATCATATCTTGATCTATATTTTTTAAAGCTTGGGTTTTGCTAAACCAGCTATTTGTTAAGTCTATTAATGCATTTTTGCGATGACTAATAGTTGGTAAATTGTTTTATAATATTTTATCTATATGGTAAATATGTTCGAAATAACCTTTTTTTCTTAGTTTTTCATCTTCTGTGTAGGGAATATCTATCATCTTAGACTCAACTTTGGCTCCTAAGGCCTTTTGACCAACGATTATTTTTACTTCCAATGGGTCTAATGCCAACACGCCACTTCTAGGCAACAACGGAAAACCCTAAAGCTAGTAATCGGCCAAGTGTATAGGATTTCTGGGGAGCGAAGACTGAAGCAGATAGTCTCTTTTACAGAAAAATAAAATTTTGGAAATAAAATTAAATGAGCAATTTTATCATAAAGAAAAAATTAGAGCATATTTTCTGATGCGAGAGTTCGTCGTTAGCCGCAGTTGCAGAGCATACTTAAGCATAACATAAATAATTTAATTCATTCAAAAAAGTAAGATACTATTACCTCACGCTCAGATTAGAACATCAATTATGCTTATCCCAAACTAAGCAAGTTGCGAATTTTACTGAAACCCAAATATCACTTCTGAGTTTTATCATGAATTAAATGCTCTATGGGAATCCCATATTTCACAAAACAAAACACAATTTAGAAAAAACATGGGAAAAATTTCTGAATTGTTAGTAAAACAATCAGTAAAAACCAGAGATCTGCAAAACCTATCTTTAAATTCTTTGCTTATTTCGGATTGTGACGAAACCTAAGGGATGCTCTTGGCACATCCTAAGAGGCTCCTATACATCTTTTGGGGTCAAGATGACACCATTACCATTGCTCTTCAAAATAAGGTTTATTCTTGTACGGGCTTCCATAATCCATAGGCATGTTTGGAACCTATGGGTCTTGGATGCGACCACCTCCTTTTTCATTCATATTGGGGAAAGATGTGCATAAAAAATGCACGACATTAGTGTTTTGTGCCTTCGAGGCTTGCTTTAGGTTTTTGAAGGGTCTTTTTAGCGAAACCCTAATTGTGTTTGTTGCTCTCTTGCCCAATGTTCTCAAAATCGAACCAGAACGGTTAACGGGATATGGGCCTGGAGGCGGTTTAACTGGCCTAACTGGTAAATCGGCCAATTCAACCGCTCTAACTGGGCAAGTCCCGAGCAGTCAAAAAAGTGTTGAAAAAAAAAAAAGATAAAAAAAAAAAATCTACTAAAGTATGAAAAGCATATAAAGAATGATTAAAACAAAACACATTCAAATGAAGTTGAAAATTAATGAAAAAAATGGATTTTAGCAAATCGCTTTGTGCTTAGGGGTATTTTTAAATGTTTCTTAAAAAGAAGGGAAAATATAAAAGTGAGTATTAATGACCAATTTTTTTTTTTTAACTTTACCATAATGTAAAGAATGTTAAAAAATGCATTACAAATCAAATTCCTTAGTTTTGGGAATTTATATACATTTTTTTTGAATTTTTTTTAAGTACTGGTTGATCACCAAAACCGCCCAAAACCGTAACCAGCTACTAGTCGGTTCCGATCACTGCTCTTGCCCCATAAAAATTTTAGCAATGCTGTCCTAGAGGTGCTTCCTAGTTCAAATTAGTGAGTTCAGTAGGATTCAGAATTTAAAGTGCGCCATTTGTCAAGTGATTGTATGTGGGATTTGCTAAGCACTAGAGGGGTAACCCTAGGCAAAAGCCAGTGAGTCTTCCCTTATTTGGTTTTATCTTTTGATGTTTTTGTCTTATTTTTGCTTCTTAAAGTCTCAATATTGTATCCAGTTGAGTAAAGTTTATTTTGGCATTAAGTTTATAAAGATCCTAGATTGTAATATGCTGAATTTATTATATTTATGGCACCAGTAAGTAGACTTTCCAGAAATTAATAAAAGAAAAGAAAGAAATTTTTGAATTTATATCCTGGAATTCTGCCTTTCATGGCTAAGGCACTAGGCTTTACCACTAGTGTTAGACTTGCTGGGGGTTATGCCTAGTCCTAGGTGACATGCCTAGGCACCTACCCCACCTCAATGCAACACGCATAGTCGCCCGAGTTCGGTCGCTTTTTTTAAAAATGGGTAATGTCATTTTACCTTTTGGATTAAAAATCTTTACCTGAGTCAAATGTGAGTAGTTTAATGGACCACTGTAATTGCGATACAATCATTTTGTAAAAGGTCATAAATATTTCGGAAGTAATGGATTTATTTTATCAGAAGTTACATTGTTGGGGAAACCAAATGGAAAGAAGCATATACAAAGAACCTTATTTACCAATAAGCTGGTCTTATTCTTGAACTGAAAGCTTTCCATGTTGGATTGTCATCACATTCAACAGGTTGATGCTGTATTGTGATGTTACCTTTGGCCGTGTGAAACAGTGTGAATTGGCTAAAAGAAGGCATTAAAATGATCATGACTTTTCTTGAATGCACTAAAAACCTGAATATTTCTCTCACATGGGACCCTCCATGTTTTTGTAAAGTCTATTTATCTTCATCTCTGGATGGTATGTCACACCGTTCTTTTTCAAAAGCATGCATTATCCCTTTTTATGAATGACAGCCAAAGTTAATAATGAAGAGTACTGTTCTTATAAAGTTTCTACAACATGATTTTATAATGTATTACAATTGCTCTGGAATTCTAGTTTAGACTAATGCTTTTTTTGGTAAAATGCTGTAGAATAACTCCCCAAGAAAATTTGTTTTAAATAATACTTTTGGGTTCCCCAGAAACACCTCGAGTTACTTTTGAAGTTTTTGCCTGAAGTTTGTCAAATCTTAAGTAAAGAAACTTGTTCCTAGATTTCTAAATTGCCTGTTAGTGTATTTCCCTTAATCCCTTGCTAGCTATTGTTTCTTTTGTCCCTAAAAATTTCTTAGTTGTTTCTTAATTACAGATGAATACTCAGTGTGTTAACCCCATTTCTGTGAGTTTGCAAATTTGTAAAATTTTTGGGAGACATTATTTGGCCTTTAGATGCGGGAAGAAGGTCATCTTTGAAATAAAGGCAATGGTGGTTTGATTGATGAGAAATATAACAGAAAACTATTTGGAGGCTCAAGTACCGCCATGGTTCATTCCTATAGAAGTGGAAGTGCAACGGGAGTTTTATGTGATCGCCGAATACCAATGGAGCTGAAGGACAAGTTCTGTAGGATAGTTGTGAGATCAGCTTTGCTTTACGCGGTGGAATTATGGGCGGTCAAGAAACAACATACCCATAGAATTAGAGTAGCTGAGATGAAAATGTTGGGATGGATGAGTGGCAAGACAAGAAGGGATAGTTTTCGAAATGAATACATTTGGGAGAATTTAGGTGTTCCACCAATAGGAGATAAGATACGAGAAAGTAGACTTAGGTAGGTTGGCCATATGTAGCGCATATCCCGTAGTACTAAACATGTTAGGAGGTGTAAGTTAGTTCAAGTGTAAGGCTTAAAAAGGGCAAGGGGTAGCCCCAAAAGGACATGACTGGAAGTAGTGAGAAAAGATATGGGGACTTATGGCCTCATTGAAAGTATGTCCTTCAATAAAGCAGAAAGACGGACCAGGATTCATGTACTCGACCCCAATTAGTAGTCATTTGATAATGATGATGAGAGTCATGTGCATCCTTCCCTTATCACTTGTTGATGTCCCACTCATGCATATGTTGCAGCCATTGATCTCCCACTCATGCATATGTGTGGCCATTGGGTATATCATTTGGCTTTTGAGTTATCACTATGAGAGATTTTACTTGTGAATGCTATTTGGAGTTATCCTTCCTTTATCACTTGTTGATCTCCCGCTCATGCATATGTTGCAGCTATTGATATCCCAATCATGCTTATGTGTGGCCATTAGATATGTCATTCGACTTTCGAGTTATCACTATGAGAAATTATTTTATTTTTCTTGTGAATGCTATTTCGAGATATATCTCTTTTTTTCCTAATCTTCTATATAAAAGCATGTTGCAAACTAGTTTGAACCCTGGTGTCTTGGTTATTAGTTAACTTGGAATGTATGCTACGCTGGCATTGCTTGTTTGCAGTCTATGAATAGGTATTGAATGTCAATGTTAGGTGGATGGAACTTACTTTTGGTTGAAATGCCATGTGTTACTGATGTTTCTAATCATCAAGGGTGTATTTTGTCAGGAAGCTCCCATGAGATGCAAGTCGATTTAGAGGGTATAGGTGGTGGCGGGAAGATACAATTCGAGGTATTAGGATCTCTGAGTCTCTGGTAATATCTTTTTTAATTTATCTTGTCAAGGGCCATGTATGAACAACATTGAAATATGAGTTCCATGCAAATAGCATTATTTATTTTTTGGAGATTGCATTATTGATGTGCTTTGCTTTAGGCTCATACAAAATAATGAAGTCCTGGATGTCATTGTTACCTGCTTTTAAATTAAATATAACCAATTATGCTGAGGAGTTTTCAGTGCTCTTTTGGTTTTCTTGTAACATGGCTGTAGAATTATTGATGACATGGAGTTTTGAAAAAAAAGAAAGAAAAAAAGAAAAAAAAGAAGAAAGTTAAGCTCACATTTTTCATGGAAAAGGCATTTCGGCATTGTGTTATCTTTATATATAATGGGAAAAGGTTCTGGTTCTCTAACTGAGAAATGTTTCCCATCCTTGAGATCAGGGATTTGTATCTAAGAGAATGGTACCGTACTGTCAGGCAGGATACTCATTGGTGACAACAATGGCCCTCTGCTAACAATTGATGACTGATGTCAACGGCTCCACTAAGGTGGACATGTGCCTTGAGCTGAGGAACCATTCACATCGGTCCTCCCTGTCTGACAGCAGATAGCTGATGTCATTATATGTCAGTGTATCATATGGTACTTGTATTATATTTTCCTTTAAAAAGATTTCCTCTTTTAATAAATGCACCCCTCAAAAGATAAGAGCTCCAATCTTGTAACATAAATAACTGTCCTGATTGCTCGTGAAAATGAAGCTTGCAAATGATCTTTGCTTTGTTTTTCTTTGTACTGTGAACTGAACATTTAAACGGAACTTAGATTTTTCCGACAATACCTTGTTCGATGTAGCTGTGGATGAAAACAAGCAAAGACCAAATAAAAAACCTGAGACAAAGTCATGATTCAAAGCAGAGATGAAATCCTTCTTGCTAGGGTAGAAAACCCCGCCCTGTTAATTCGGAAACAGAAAACAGTTACTAAAACTCCTAAACTGAAGAAAACCCCTCTTATAATATATATTTCTATTCCTGAACTGATATCCTAACCCTATTAGAATGCAAACTATCCAAGACACAAACTCCAGAACAACCTAATGGGAACAAAAATTCCATCTCTAGCCCTAAACTTTAAAAATACCGATGGATCTAATCACAGAACTTTGGGCTCTGGTTGCCACAGCTACCAAACATGCCAAAATGCCTACATAGGTTGTAGAGGTTGACCATTACTTGAACGGGCCCTGTAACATGGTAAAGCATGACCAACGTAAAAAGTTATGTCCCTCTAAAACCGGCTACATCATTGGCCTAGTAAAAAGTTAATCATACACATTTAGCACTTTCATTCAATAACTTCTCTATGAGCTTCTAAGGAGAACTTCGCCTTTTAAAATCTCTGCATAAGTTTATCCATACACCTTTGGCACTCTTTAGACGGCTTGCCTTCTAAAGAGATATTTGCTTTCTAAAGGGAGCTTCAAATCGTATCCTCTGACTGGTATACACTATCTGCGAAGAACTTTGTCGTTTTAATTATTAGCTGAAGGCTTGTATATGTGGTAAATCTATGGTCGGGGTTTCATATATATCCTATTGGGGGCACTTTTTTCTAAGTGTCCTCCACTAAATTTTTCCTACGGCCATCTGGGCCATTGGGTTATACTGGATCTTTCTGTTTCTCTCTCTATATATATCAACTTCCAAGCCTAACCTCTTTCTCTCTTTCTCTCTCTCTCTCTCTCAATCTCTCACTTCTTTTTTTTTTTTGGAAGCCCTCTTTGTGGTGTCGTAACATGCTATGTGTGTTTGTGTGTGCGTGCGCGCGCACGTGTCTGTTTGTGTGTCTTCCCTCATATATTTTGACTTCTTGGTCGAATGGAGGGTTCTATGGTGATGATTTTCATTTGATCCCCTAAAAAAACAGTGTGTGTACGCGTGCGTGCGTGTGCACGTGTGTATGTACATGTGTGCATTCCTGAATTATATTTAAACCTTGAAAGGTTTGGCTATCTAAGATTCCCTCGGTATAATTTCAAAAATTTTCTCTTGTTCTTTTATTAGCAACGAGGTAACTCTACTTACAATCGCCAAATACACACTACAAGACTGAAAATAAAACCCTACTACAATCTAGGATCTCGCTCTTACTAACTTCAAATATAAACCTTCAATGAATAAAGAATGAATCACAATGCCAATTCTAAATCAAATAGGAATCCTAATTCAAGTAGAAGAATCACTTAACACTAAAGAAACTTTATGGAAAACAACTTACTGAATTGTGCCTCGTATTACCTTGATACGACTTAGAACACATCCAACCCCCATTATCAAACCGATGGCACATTGATCTTTAGGTCTTGTTTGAGTCCTTCGATATGGGAAGCACCTGGACAATAACCTCTAACTCTGAATTGGGGTTGAGAGCATACATAGAAACACTAGGGTCACTTTTCAACTATTTTTAAATTTTGTGGCATGCCATAATGTGGTATCATCCCTAAACAAACTGGTTTGGGCATGTCCTCTCTTGTGTGTGGGGCGGCAAAAAGCCTTGTCAATGGGTTTAACTACCGGCGACAGGGGCTTCTGGTGGTACTTGGGTGGTTTGGAACCCAACTGAGCTTAATCTCCTCTCTTCCCACATAGGAGATTTCTCAGTCACCGTTCTCCTTTCTAGGGTGACAGATGGTTTGCTGTTCAAATTCTCTGCCATTTATGGACCCAATTCACCTTCCTTACTTTCCCGTCTTTGGTTTGAATTGGACTTCGTTGCAGCTTTACCCCACAGTGTGTGGTGCCTGGGCGTGAGAGAAACATTAACACCAATATTTCCCAAGGTATGTTATTTCCAACTTCATTTTTAGACAAGAACTTCTAGGCATTCCTATCCAAGGGAATGCCTTTACTTGGTCCAATCATTCCATCCAGCCTTCCCTGGCTAAACTGGATCGTTTCCTTCTTTCTCTAGATTGGGAAGCTGCTTTTCTGATTCATATGCACTCACCCTGCCTAAACCCACCTTGGATCACTTTCCTATTCTCCTTGATACATAGGTGGCCCAAAGAGGGCCAAAACCTTTTCGTTTTGAATTGGCTTGGCTAGAAGAGCATTCCCTTCTAAGTCTCATACCCAGGTGGTGGAATTCCTTCTATGCCCAAGTCTTGAGGAGAGCGGGATTCAAGCTTCAAACCACAATTCAGCTTTTAAAAAGTCCCTAAAAACTTGGAGTCAATCTCGGCCAGGGAATTATTCTCAGTTAAAAAGCTCTTTGCTAAGTTCCATTCAAGACCTTGATAGGATAGAAGAAGCTAGACCCCTTTTAGAATCTGAAGTGCTTCTTACAACCCAATCCAAGTTGGAATACCTCGCTACTCTCAAGCAAGAAGAACTTTTTTGGTACCAGATATCTTGAGTCAAGTGGCTAAAAATAAGGGTTCAGAACACTGCTTTCTTTCACCGCACAGCGAATTGCCGTAAAAGAGAACCTGATTTCCACAATTAAGGTGGAAAATCATTCTCTAATCCAGCCAGACGAAATTGATACAGCCACCCTCCATTTCTTCAGGTCTCTCTACTCTGCCTCAGTGGGACTTAGTCCTAGGATGACCACTCTGGACTTCCTAACAGTTCTATATCATTGGTCAAGTTGGTTGAACAGACCTTTTTTACCAAAGGCTATTTCCAATGCCATTGACCAATTAGCCAAAGATAAAGCTCCGGGGCCATATGGGTTTCCCATAGCCCCCTTTAAATCTTTTATGGGTACCTTTCTACTGGACCTCTTGAGTTTCTTTGAAGAATTTTATCATAGGGGGATCTCAACAAAGCTATTAATGCCAGTTTCTTAGCCCTTGTCCCTAAGAGCTAAAGGACTTTCGTCCTATTAGCTTGCTCAACTCTTCATACAAAATTTTGGCCAAAGCCCTGGCGTCCAGACTCAAGCAGGTTCTTCCTATGATCATTTCGCAGTCCTAATCTGCTTTCATCCAAGAAATGCTGATCTGGGACGGTGCGCTGGTTGCCCCCGAGTGTATTCACTCTAGACATTTATCCAAGAAGCCAGGATTGATTTTCAAAATTGATTGAGAAAAAGCATACGACCATGTGGATTGGTCCTTACCGGATGAGACGATGGCCATCATGAAATTTGGAACTCGTTGGAGAAAATGGATGAAAGGATGTATATCCAATCCTCATTTCTCAGTACTTATAAACGGAAGTCCTAAAGGCTATTTTTCAGCCTCGTGGGGGCTCCGCCAAGGGAACCCGTTATCTCCCTTTTTCTTTACAATAGCAACAAAGGTTGTCAACAGGTCTATCTCTCGCCTTTACCAAGAAAGCCTCCTCTCTCCTTTCCTGTGCAGTTCACAAGGTCCTTCGGTATCACACCTGCAATATGCAGATGATACCTTAGTCTTCCTTGATTGATGCTGCTCCTTATGAAATCGAAAATCTCAGTCTCTTCCTCAAATGTTCTGAGAATGCCATAGGCTTCAAAGTGAATATGGAAAATCAGAGATGATGGGAGTAGGTCTCACAACTCAAAAAATCAGAATCGTTATTCCTTCCTGGGAATGTTTAGTGGAGGACTTACCCATCACTTACTTAGGGTTACCTTTGGGCTTAGGGAAGCCGAAAAAGAGATAATGGGCCCAAGTGATCGACATAGTTGATAGGCGATTGGCTGGATGGAAAGGGAGGTTTCTCTCACTGGCTGGTCGCTCTACTTTAGTTAAAGCTACGTTGGCCAAAACCCCTATTTACTTAATGTCCATATTCCACATGCCAGCTTCGGTGGCTAACAGGCTGGACCAACTTATGAGGAATTTTCTGTGGTCTGGTCAATCAAAAAAAACCAGACATCACCTCGTCTCTTGGGATAGAGTCCGGCTACCCAAGTACCAAGGTGGTCTAGGAATCATAGATCTTAGAAAACACAATATGGCCTTTGTGGTGGAGGTTGGCCACCCAACCAAACTCTCTTTGGGCACAGGTTATTCGGAACTAATATAACATTTCGGATCACACATGGGTGCCTCACAGGACTTCTCATAGTAGGGCTTCAGGAGCTTGGAAATCCTTCACCCATTCTCTTGCTATGTTCAAGCAATCACTACGCTTCCATCCAAAAGAATGTAATAGAGGGTGCCTTTGGTTTGATCTTTGGATTGGACATACCCCCCTTAGGGACCTTTTCCCCAACCTCTTTGAACTTGCTTCCAACAAAGAGTCCACCATTGCAAATGAAATGGTCCTTGCAGGGGGGCGCAGAACTTGGAATCCCTCTTTTAGTAGGAACCTCACCGAGGAGGAAATTTCAGCTTTCTCCAACATCTCGGCTGCTCTTTACTTGGTGTTCTTACCTTCTTCAGGGATTGACTCTCTGGTATGGACTCTTTCTCCATCTGGTAAGTTTTCAGTAGCTTCTTTCTACAAGAAACTTACCCAACCGCCTACTTACCTGTTAAATTCCATCTGTCCTCTCGCCAAAGTTTGGAATACTGTTACTCCTCCAAAAGACGAAACCTTCAATTGGATTGCCTGTGTCAATGGGCTCTCACGCTTGATCAGATTCAAAAGAGAGGCCTACCGCTCCCAAACAGATGCGTAATGTGCCTTGTTGAGGAGGAGTCAAACCCTCACCTCTTTCTACATTGCAATATGGCCTTTGAACTTTGGACTCTTATCCTTTACTTGTTTGGTCTCCAATGGGTCCTCCCATCTTTGGTTAAGGAACTTTTCCTTTATTACTCAGGTGGTCATTGGCCCAAAGCAGGTAGAATCCTGTGGAAGGAAGCAATCGCTGCTACCATTTGGGTCCTATGGCTAGAAAGAAACGAGAGGGTCTTTCAAGGACACAAAAATGAGGTTTCAGTGCTCTTTGACAAGGTTACAACCCTTGTAATTTTTTGGGTTTCCACCCAAAGTTTCTTTGGTGGGATTCCCAAGAATACCTTTCTCAGGCAGTGGGAGAACATTATCCAACTTCAACCTCTCAAGGCACATAGACCTCACAATTGGTAGCCTCCCATGAATATGCCATAAAGCTCAATTTTGATGGTTGCTCGTTAGGGAACCCGGGCCCATTAGGACTTGGGGGGGGGGGGCTCTTCTGTGACCACAATCGCAATGTCCTCATGACATATTCTGAATTTGTCGGACATAGAGATTCTCAGTTTGCCGAAGCCTTGGCACTCCTTATGGGCCTAAAAAATTTCAACCCATCTTGGGGTCAACCTTTAGTAGTGGAAGGAGACGCTCAAAATATTGTATCTTGGGCAGCAGGCACCGCTACCCCCCCTTGGTATCTATCAAGGATTTTTGACAAAATTTACCACATATGCAGGGATACCAACGTCTATTGGAGGGATACTTGGAGGATGTCGAACGCGTTCGCTGACCTTTTGGCTAAAGATGGAGCCCGGTGACGATCACATATGGAAGACCTTGACTGGTCCATCTCCTTTTTTGCTCTGGACCACAGAGGTTTTCAAGGACACTAATCATTTTTTTGCTCCTTCTTGTACTTGGGCGTTCCTATAAGCCCCTTTTTGAAGGCTCAACCATTTGTAATCAGCCACTTCAAGAGGCTAATTTTTGTATAGGGTCAGTGGAGCAAATGTTTTTGACTAAGATACCCGTTTCGTGGGTACCCTGGTCCTCTCCTTCCTCCCTCTACCGTATTCCCGCTTATTCTAAGTATTACAATGTTAAGTTTATCAAAAAATATATCCAACCCATGTTAGTCTTGCATAAGCCTTCTGTTTGTTATGGTACTTCCTTGTGTCCCCTACTTTCTCATTATTTTTTCCAACATGCAGGTGTATAGGGATTTGATATTTGAGGGACATTTGCTATTTATGTTTTCGAGTACTCTCCTACAACGAAATTTGAGTTTTATCAGTGTTATAGGCTTATGTTTTAGAATTTTATTACCTTTTTTAGTGCCCTTTTTTGTGCTTTTAGGAAGATTTTTAATTAGACGTACTGTATGGCAGTTTTATTGACACCCTTGTCTCAAAAATTTGGCACAACCTCCCCTTAACCAGAGTGAATTTCAGTACACACTCCTAGTCGTGCTTAAATTCCTGTAGGAATTAGATTAGGTTTCAGTGGTTATATCTGGTAACAAAAAGAACTGCTAGTCCAGTTAAATTCCCATCGGAATTAGATCTTGTTTCAGAGGTTAATACGATGATAAAAGTAGTGTGGAATTTGGAGGCACAAGAGGAGCTTGCTTTCTTCGAAGTGTATAACGGACCCGACTCGGTTGGAAACTGAGATGCAAACGGTATTGGCTAGAACGCTTGGGATACAGCTAGATCGGGAACTTCCTGCGTTTCTTAGTTGCACTCTCAGAAACTCATTTAAAATCACAATATAAAAGTACTGATATGTTCTTAACTCATTGTCATCATCATCATCATGATCATGATCATTGTCAGAGCCTTATCCCAACCTTTTGGCGTCAGTTACACAAATCTTTTTCCGCCATTCTGCTATATCAAGTATCATACCCTCAAAAATGTCCATAGGTTGATTCATGAAAATATGCGGCAAAGTTCTATGTTGATTGCCTACCAAATATAACCGTCCTTCTTTACCCGAGCTTGGAAGTGGCCAAGGTGGAGTTCTTAACTATCAACCAAAAATTGCGACAGTCAGTTGCGACAAGCTGTTTCAAAAATATGTAGGCTTTACTAAGCCCATATAATCACAATGGGTCTCCATCTTAAAAACAAAGACTAGATAAAGCCCAACGATGGGTGTAAATGGCTTCATTGAGCAATTGAATGTCGACATAATGTCCTCATGACATTCATCATGGCCTTGATAAAATTGTTTTGCCATTATCGCAGGTGTAAGAGAAAGGAAATGAACTTAGAGAGAAAGTAAGGTCTAGTTAGTTTCTCGGCTCATGTCTCTCTTCCAAAAACCAAAAACGAACATACAAAGGAAGGGGGTATGATGGTTCATATTGATGATGCTTCACATCATTAGATGAGAGATGACACTCATGTGATGTTAACACATCACTAGATATGTGTCCAAAAACAAGAAACTCAAATAAGGATTGATAAAAGGGTGCCACTTGTCACCCACAACAAACAAGTAAAGGTAAGTGTGAATTGGTTTGGAATGAAGTGATGGTTTACTTTTGTGGGCCCTATATACCGCCTATAGCAAAGTGGTCCTTCAAAAATATTCAAATGGAATGTTGTTTTGAAATTGATAACCTTTGCAGGGATATGCACATCTCATGAAAGCATATTTGGAGGGAATGAAACAAGGAAGCTGACACCCTAGCTAAGGATGCAGCTTGCACGGTTAATGTGCAGATTTTTTGATGGCTCATTTTTGATGGCCCATAATATTATGACATTGTAATTTTGTAAGAAGGGCCTTTGCTTAGTGCATGTTGTTTATTTTTCCCCTTTGGCGGCTGTTGTACATAGGGCATTTGCGTGTGGATTGGCAATTTTTTTTAGACTGTTTTTCCCCTTTCTAATCTAATACAATGTTAACATATTAAAAAAAAAAATTGTTTTGAAACAACAAATTAACTAAAATTAATAATGTAAGCAGACATTACAAACAAATACTATTTGTTATCCTTGGCAAAGTTTTACTGATGATGTTGTCTATTCATGCATGTTTTTATGCTTTTGCTATTCGGACATGCTGATCTAGATCTAGGTAACTTTATATGATGCTGTTGATTTTATGTTTGTGCTATTTATATCAGTTATAATTTTATTAATTTATAACTTAAACTGGCATTTTGTCTTTCATTCCCATAAAGTCCTTTATAAGACATTAGATATCGTTCTTTATTAAAGTAATGATCAAAACGACTTATATGCTGTTCGCTGTTCAACTCTGTCTTAAAGTTTGTCTTAAGTGTTTCCTTTTGTTATTAATCTTTGCAACACATGATTTCTGGTAATATTCAGGTGCCTGGAAGTTTATATTCTTCATTAGATTTTGCTTTTCAAATATTGGCCCCTTAGACTTGCTTTACTATCTGGACTTTTTAACTTTTCAGGTGAAGTACAAAAGCTTTGAGGAATTGAATGCTGAAAAACAGAAGTGGAAAATACCCTTCATATCAGACTTTCTTAAAGTGAATGGTCTTGAGTCTGCTTCTAAAATGGTTCTTGGCGCTGAGAATATGCAAGCTCGCCAGTTTGTTGAGTCTGCCTTTGGGCAATTAAGATCATTCAGTGGTATTGATCTTGGAAAAAATCTGTTCTTAGAAGCTGATAGTCATGACACGCAAAATTCTATGAAGTCCACAAATGTGGTTGGGGATGAAAATGGTGATAGAAATTCTCCTAAGGAGTTGGAGCCAGCCAGCTCTTTAGACAATACTTGCATTATGGGAGCTTCTGGAGATACCTCTGTCCAAGGAAGTTCATCCATGGAGTCCAATCAATCATTTGAAGATTTTTGGAAAAACTATGCGAACTCTATCAATCAAACCATGGATAATGTCATTCTAAACAGGCTTAGTTTCCCATCTTTCGAGAAAGTGCGTTGGGATGGGATAGATGTAATAAAGAAAATTGGCTTACAGTCCCAGAGGGATGCAGATGCAAACTATGTTGAATCGGGACTAGCAACTCCTCAAATTGAAGAGGATAAATCATCGAGCGACCCTTCATCTATTGAGGTGGAGTTTCAGTCTTCCATCATGGATATGAGGAAAGCTTCTTCAGAAGCTATGAGACAGATGGATAATATCCTTGGAGCACTGGTAGTTCTCACAGCTACATTCTCTCAACTAAAAAATAACTTGAAGGACGACAGTCATGATGATGCTGATGGTGATGCTTCAGTCTCAGTGAAAGATAATCTCCCTGAGAGTTCTGGAATGAAGGATAATCTCCTTGAGATTTCTGAAACTAGAAAGGAAGAGATAGTTTTGGGTGCATCAGGTCTGGATAAGAGTAGGGAAGAGGAGATGAAAGCCTTGTTCTCCTCAGCAGAGAGTGCCATGGAGGCGTGGGCTATGCTCGCAACTTCCCTCGGTCGTCCAAGTTTCATCAAATCTGAATTTGAGAAAATTTGTTTCCTGGACAATCCTTCCACTGATACTCAGGCATGCTCTTTCTAGTTTGACTGTGAATCGTGTTTCTTTCGATACATCTAGTGGATCTTCTTTATCATATTCATGGGTTCTCGTTTTAATTGGTAACTATCCGATGATGTCACTATATATGATAAAATCTGTGCCTGCACTTATGCTAATCTCGTATTTCAAGATCATGCTAATTGAAAATACTGTAGGTAGCCATTTGGCGAGATCCTCAGCGAAGAAGATTGGTAATTGCTTTTAGGGGAACTGAACAAGTATGTACTTGAAGTTAAGCATCGCAAGAATTTCATTTTTATTGATATTATCTTACATCAGATAATGAGTTGCTTAGAACTCTTGTTCCTTGTTATTTTAACGTCGTATGTGCTACTTCTTCTTATGTTTTATGTCAGGCAAAGTGGAAGGATTTGTGGACTGATTTAATGCTAGTTCCTGCTGGGTAATACTGTGCTTCATTAAAAGCAATACAATATTCATTTTCTTCCAATCTATGAACCTCCGATATACAAGCTCATTTGTCACCATCAAGCATGTACTACTCATTGGATTGATTGAATTTTGAAGTGTTCATAACCTGTTGTCGATGTTGTTGATGTTGACATTTAATTATGACTTTCTAGTATATTTTTTCTTGTTAACTAAACCTGAGTTTTTTTATCTTTAATTGCTGCAACTTGTTTCAAATTCATTAATGTATCTGACTTCTGACTCGTGATTCCGTGTGGTGCTATTTATATTTCTCTAGGTGCCAGTTTTTTTATCTGTGCACTTGAGGACTTTTCAGATTTGTACTCCCATTTTGCGGTTAGTCTATTGTGGTGTCTTCTTTATTTTAGTTGTACCTTGCATTAGTAATGTCATGGGTGTTCTTTCCAGTAGTTATTAATACAAGAATAAGAGGGTGAATGGAGGATCTTTCCATGAGGGTGTTTCCTGGGACGGTGGCACGCACAGCTGCTTTCTTGGTTTAGAATAGGGCTTAGGAGTGTTGCATGCTTTGAGGGACCAAATGTGTTATACAGCCGTGCTGTATGAGTATGTGATTTTATTCATACTTGTGTTTAGCATTCTCAATTTAGTACGTAAGAGAATGTGTGTAGTTGTGCAACACGTCAAATCTAACCTCTGTAGGCAAGCATGGTATCAGTCTCTGCTCCCTTATGGATGGCCATTATGAAACTATTGAGTTTTGTGAACATCTCAGGTTATAGGTGGAAAACTGATTACATGGAGAAGTAAGGAACAAAATTTAGTGGCTAGATCTAGTCAAAAGTTGTATATCGAGCAAAGGTATGTTCTACATGGGAATCCATGTGGCCGAAACATGGTTGCTGGAGTTATAATGCAGAACAAAATTCTTATTTTTAATTTTTATTCAATTTGAAGAGATCCATTTTTTAATTTTAGTTTTAGGATCTATTTTTAGGGCTTTAAGTTTTCTAAAGACTCTAGGTTTTTTTTTTAAATTTATATCTTTATTTTTTATGGAATAAAATTCTTCTTTTCTCGGCTTGATTTTACAGCAATGCCTTTTTTCTATTATTGCTGATTTTTACTTGTGTGAGATTCGGGAAAAAGGTGGATATAATATCCCACCTGTCCTTCGTGCATCAAGGTGAGATCGGGATTAGTTTGGGGAACACCGAACCGCCATAAGGAGGATTTGGAAGCTCCTTGGGGTTACGATCAGCATCCATACATTCAACAGGTTAAGGAGCTAGATCTTAGGATATTGAGAGCAAGGTCCCATGTTATTGGGATTGAGGTTTTTGGCTTGGAGGGATCTAAGCTCATGTATACATAAAAAGAGATCAATTAATAGTATATGATAAAATTAAGATCGAGCCAATGCCCGTTAGATCCATTATCATACACATTAGCTTATTACTAATGCCATAGTCATAGTACTCCAATTTATTTCAATAATACAATTTAATAATATCATAAATTGGTTTACTATGGTATTAAACTATAGTTTTTTAATATCATAACTTTAGTATACCGTGAGGTGATATGCACAACAATTTAACATATTCTAAAGAAATGAATTTATAATACTAAGGAGAGGAACAATAATTCAATTAATAGTACAGCTCCTCTCCTTGGAGGGATCCTACTAACATGTAGACGTGAAATCCCATTTTATAGTGGGCGAGATCCCTATTTTCCTAAACCTGGCTTCCTCTAAGATCCCTTAGAGCAACCACATGATCGAGTTCCTATGGTGGGGCTGTAGCCGTACTCCCAAGGTTCCTACAACTGTGGGCTGAAAACACTGATTCAGGAGATGGGGTTTACTATTTGTTGAGTTATGAAATTGTATTATAATAATAAAGAAGCATTATCTTGTGTTTCATAAGAGAACTAAACAAATTCAAGTAGATTCCCTTTATTCGAGAGATGGTTACTATTAAGCAGGTGTCTACTACATATGTGAAATCTAAGGATAAGTTGGTATTCATCCTCGCCAAACTGTTAAGCCGTAAATTGTTTCAAACAATTTGTTCCAAATTGGGCATGATTAGACATTTATGCTCCAGCTTGCGGGGGAGTGTTAATAGTCATTTTTATCTTTATGTCTTTTTTAATTGAGTTAATATGACCTATATGTCCTATTTCCAGTTTGTGTGGGCCGTATTCCCATTGCTCTATCTTATGAATATAAAAAATATTCGAGAGGTGTGTGAGACCAATTGGACTTACCTAGATGCCCTAAGGGTCGCACGTCGCACATAGAAGAAAACCTAAGCCTTCTTTTATTCTTGTGTGAAGGTATGATGTGCCTTGGAATATCATTTGCTTATGTGGCGTGCTCTTTCTATCCCTTTTAGTTTTGGTTTGCTATTGAAGCTTCCCATCTTAAGGAGATTCAAAAGGAATCTAGATCAGTGCGCTAGCGATCTAGAATATCTAGAGTGGGGTGTGCTAAGTTCTTTGGACGTAATTCGAGACGACTAGTTCCTAGCTTCCCATTGTTCTTGATTCATTTATGCATTTTTATTTATTTATTTTATGAATGACAGAAGGATATTTTTTGTTTTATGACAGTTGTTATCAGAGCCAAAAGGTTGGTCAGTGAGTATGACAGTGGCTGCTGGTATAGCTAATATGCAAAACTGTGTCGACCACCTCAAGTACTTGGAGCAAGAGCAATACGTCCAAATGGTCCAGGATGATGGGTTGGGGGAGACCAGGATCAGGGCTTTGGTGGCAAAAGTGGAGGACTGTTGTGGCACCTACGATGCTAGTATGGGAGGGCTCATGGATGACCTCATGACCTTCATAGAGTTCTTCTAGGTCAACCTCGTGACCCTACAAAAGAGGCCCTTGTGTGAAACTAATGGCAGGCTGAAAATTGGGCCTGTGAGGGCCCAAAGCCACGGTTGTTCAAGGGCCAAAGAGACTCCAAGGTGTTGGAGAATTTACTCTGGAACATGGAGCAGTACTTTGAGAATGCTCATGCCCATGATGAAGATCGTGTTGGCTCGCTGGAGACGCGAAGCTCTGGTGGTGGATGCGGGTCGAGGACACATCAAGGCCCAAGGTGAGCACTTGGGAGGCTTTCAAATACGTGAGCACATCAAGCTTTGGAGGAGGATGAAGGATCAGTTCTTACCCGGCGATGCATCCTGGGTGGCTTGAGACGCTTTGAGAAAGCTTTGGCAGTTAGGCTCGGAGTGCGAGACTTTGAAGAAGTTTGCATCCCTTATTCTGATATACAAACCATGATCGATGAGGACTGGCTATTCAACATTGTGTCTGGGCTGCAGGGCTAAACCCAGGCTGAGTTGAGGAGGCCAGACGTGTGACTGCTTGCTGCTATGGCAGCAGCTGAGGGCTTAACAGATTTTGATCGTCGTGGGGTAGTGGAGCTGAAGAGGATGGACCATTGACGGTGGATGGTGAGAAAGTGGTGCATTGCACTGGCACAAGACTTGAGAAGGGAGTAACCAAAGAGAAAGAAGCTCCCTAGAAGGCCTTGTTAGGCCATATCATATGCTGAGGTGACCATCGGGCAAGGGTGTGCCCATGGAAGCACCCTCTGTACTGTTCGATTGGTGGATGAGGATGCACAGGCCCCAACACAGGATTGCTTAATGTGCCTGTTGAACG